ATCATTTTTTTTCTTTTTCTAACATGTTCCAACTATTAAGTAGAATTTATGCTTGTTATGTGTGTGCTGGTTTTTGGTTCTTTGTTTTTTTTTTTATCCTTATAAATTTTTACTTGATTTCTTGTTAATATGGTTGATTGTAATGTTGTTGTTAAGTGTCCTTTTTTACTGTGAAATTTGATCCCTTGTTATTTCAAAATTGAATTTTCTCTGATTTTAGCCATTATATTTTGGTTGAGATGTTGTTTAGATTCATTGACATTGTGATCCGGGTAATGTTATTTGCTAATAGGCTTACTTGTTATCATTCGAATCATGTTACAGCCTTTGAGGTTTGGATTCTTGGCTTCTGGGAGCTTTAGGATTTTACTTGAGTGTGGCTGCTAGGAGCTGTTTGGTGGTTACAGGTCGGTCCCTGCATTTCATCTTTTTAACTGGCTGTGTTGAGCTAGCAGATTTTTTGGTGTTTGTTGCTATAAGTTGTAGCCAAACTTGCTCTCATCAGTTCAGTTTTTGCAGTAGTTACTAGTTTGTCTTTGTCATTTACACCAGGTTTACCTCTCTTTTTCTACAGTTCTTAAACTCTCTCTTATTTGTTTTACTTCAAAATTCCATACAAATTTTTATTTTTTTTCACATCTCGACCAAGACTCTCTTTTTGGGTTTTTGATGCTCCATTTTTGGCAATGTGCTTTAACTGTTAGATGTAACGCTTCTTGTACACTTTGCAAAGTCCTTGCAATTATGTTTTGACATTTTGTTTTTGTTTTTCAGGGTGTTCTTTGTAAGATGTTGAAGCAATTAATAGGGAAGGTTTTGAGCAAAAGGGTAGTTTCAGATTCTGGAGATAAGCTTCTTTTCCATTGCTTGTACTTGCCCATGAATTCTTTTCATACTGCACAGGTAATTCGTTTGTTCTTTTAGACTTTATTCAGTTTTTATGGATACCCATTTCTTTTCTCCATAGAAAAAATTGTCAATTAAAACCAAATTGAAGCCCTAACTCTAGAAATTGTGTTCATTGTGTGATATTTCAAGAAACAAAGTACATAGAAACATTGGAAATCTTATTTGCGAAATATTTTTGTCAAGTCCTCTATGTGTATGATGCATAAAAGAATTCAATTGGTGAATTTGATTGAAATTTAGTTAACTAAGAGTTCTTAAGTTCTATTTAAAGGTTGGGTTTTTCCAACTTTCAACACTCATAATCATATGGTGGAATCCAGTTCGATCAAGTTTTGGTTTTGCCCAAATTTTTTGCCTTTTTATGATGCTAGTAATGTTCCATAATTGGTGGAGAGATTTAAAACTTATTGTAACATCTACCTTATTGAAAACTTGAAGTGAAACATTCAACATGGCTTGCTTGGAGGGGTCTGAAATTGGTTAAGGAGAGAAGAGAAATGATGAGGGAGGGAAAGTACATAATCTGTTCATACATCCCTATTTATTTGATTTGTTGATTGAAAGAAGGTTATGTGAATCTAGTTTGATGATGTCATTGTTCCTTCAAAATATCTACTTCATTCCTTTCTTCCAAAATTTATTTTTGAATATACAATTATCGAGCTGTTTCACATGCTTATAACCTTGTTTCTAATGGTTCGTATATGGAATTAATGTTATCCAATCTATGGTTAAATGTTGCTTCATTAGGTAGGAAAGTTTAGATTCGCTTCCAAACTTTTTAGAAATCACAATGACTAATTGACTGAAACTAAATGGTTTGTTTTTGGTAAAGCTAGTAATTTGTCTATTTGTGTTGTGTTTACATGAAAATTGTGTCATAATTCATAGTGACATAGAAAACAAGAAATATATATATATATATATATATTGTTAAACTCATATATGATTTTCGTTAAAATTTAAAACCATGTCATCTTTGTCTTTTGTTTGCATGATTTTCATATCATGACATTATGTCTTGTTTTAGATTGTGAGGTCTAATTTTTGGGAATGATTACAACATTTACCCTTTTTAAGGTTCATTGTGCACCAAGCAGTTTTTAAGGACGACAACAATAATCTTAACTTTCTCCGCTGCAGAAATGCCAATGCAACAAATGAGGTAGATACTCGGACAGAAACAGTAGAGGAAGAACCCAAAGATGAAACTTCAGAATCTGAACCCGAAAAAGAAAGCAACAACATCTCCATTACTTCCTCTCCTTCCACTGAATCCCTTGACAAGGACCTCAAAAAGTTTCATTTTTTTATTCAAGTTGGCCTTGTTTTACATGGAGAAATGGTCGATTTTGAGGATGTCCGTATGCTATATTAACAACAGGTGGTTCATAAGAATGCTGTAACCTTTGCACCAAGGGCTTGCACAGCTACTAAAAACCCTGCTGTGCCTGGAGCTGCCTTGCATATCATTTTTGAGGTTCAAGGCTATGTTATTGCTGTTGTGTGGAGCTTTGTCTTTCAATCTCATATTTCCATCTAATGAACCTGATATTTGGAGATTGATGGGCATGTGGTACATTTGGATGTTCAGTGAGTGAGTCCTAAAACTTTCACCTAATACTACTAATTTGTTACATGCTCTGGTTAAAGGGTTTCTATGGAAGTTATTGCGTGTTCTACAAACAACATTATTCAGTTACTTATTGCCTATTTATTTACAGCAATTCCGTCCCTTCAAGCCAGGGACTGCTCAAAGAATGAAAAAGAAGCTAGCTCTTAATTATCTCTTTCTCATCATCCCCTTCCTAAATGTTATAATCCCTTTCTTATGGAAGTCTTTTGCAATTGTTTGGTCTGCAAACACTGTAGCCTTCTTTGCCATGTACTTTTTTGCCCTTCCATTGTCTCCCTCTTTATTTACTACAACTACTACGACTAGTATTACTTTCTGTGAGCATTTTGCTTATTGAATATATATATATATATATATATATGTATGTATGTATATGTTTCCTACAGCTTGGATGACTATAGAAAACAGAGCAGGAATTAAGTGCACTGGCAGTCAGTTGGAACAATGGTGCTATCATTCTTAAATGATTCCTGGCTTCAAACTCATGACGCATGCATGCGAGATATCAAAGTTCTTGAATCTGATTATTGCGGCAACTCACAACCAGAATGTAGATTATTTATGATGAACAAGGAAGAAGGTGGCTATTTCATCTGAGCAAGACATGGATGGGTATCTCTTAGAAATGTAATTACAAACTGATATTGATTAATCAATGTTATTGGCATTATGGTTGTTTCTCTTACTTCTTTTAAGGAAATATATGTGTACACTCATAAGTCCTTTAGGAGAATCTAACAATTGAAATTTCTGAATTTCTTCAGACATTTTCTTTGATATGCAACTGATGAACCAGTGAAATTATTATGGTGTGTTTTTTAAGGATTTTCTTGATGACGATAGTAGCAGGCCATACACTTACCAGAAAGAGAAAAAGTCGAAGAACCCAAATGTCATTTAAACAACGCACTATAGCCTGCATGGAGCCAATTACACTTAATGTCTTCATCTCAAAGCACTTTGTTTTTGCTTCTCTTACTCGTAGGGTGATATGTAAGCAGGTTGCTATGACTGGCACAAACCCTAAAGAAATTAAAGCAGTACTGAGATCAATTACGTTAGTGCGTTTTTACATTTTTCATCATTGAATTAAAATTAAAATTTTGACTAATTTGTATCCAAATAATATTTTTAATTTTAATATTTTGATTCAATAGTAAAAAACAAAAACATTGTACAAGCTGCAAATAGAAAAAATTAACTTCGTTAACTTAAATTCTCATAATTACTTATCAGTGTTTAAAACGAAAATAAGACATTTTTTATAAGATTCGAGGCCAAAGACTCCTTCAAAAAAATTACAAAAATATTTAATTTTAATATTGATGTCTGTTGTAAATAAAAACCATTGTACTTGAACAATGATCCGCCGTTCCTTGTACTTGGAAACTCTTGGTTTATAGTGTATTCAGGGGACCAAGATCCTTGCTGCAGGTTGTTCTCTTTATGTCAATGCTGATAGAAAATGTCCTATATGAATATCAGAAATAACTACTCCATTGCAATGAGTTCTCAGTCATTGGGCCTTCCTGCAAGTGTTTGACTTGTATATGTTTTCAATTAACGAAATGAATCTAGCAAGCCTTTGCTAAAGTTTGATAAGGACCAGCCTCTTAACTTGACATGAGGCAAATGCTTTGTAAACCTTCAATGGCGATTGAATTCTTTCCCGTTTTTCCATTCAATCAGTAGGATTAATTGGCCTTAACCCTCACCATATGAGAAAACTGGGAGAGGCATTCGTTCTGCCCAATTTCCCTGTACCATCCACCTCCTTGACAATTGAATGCTCTATTTACAATTCGCATTGATGATAAAAAATGTCAACCACAGTCATGGGGGGAAAAATCAAGTGATAATTTAATATATAAGCGGTATAAATTGCCTAAGGCCAAAGAGAAACGACGTAACCTTGTTCACCACTGAGTCCCATCAAATCATGATCCGAACTGTGCCACTAAGAAAACATAATAGGGCTACAAAAATTCCCCTAGACGAGCATGGAACTCAACATAAGGGTCGAGTAGAATGAACAAGTTATAAGTCAGGATGGAATAAACAGCCCATCACAAGCTGTCTGTAGGGCACAGCATACCTTGGGGCACCCAATGGACAAGAACTTGCCATTTGGTTCAGCTGTAGCAGAAAATCAACCTGTAAACAAACACAAACCGTCAGTCAGCCCCAAACAAAAACCATCACTTTGAGGCCACAGAATAACATATGAATTGAACTTTCTTTCCAAGTTTCAACATGAAATAGTTTGTACCCCTTCCCAAAAAGGGGAGTGGAAAATCCTTGAAATTCACCATTTAAAAAGTCTTCTCATTCTCTAGTTCAAAATAAGTATGTGATCCTCAACTTCAAAATCCTTGTCATTTTGCCACTTACAGAACATTTCTCCTTATCCTTTGACTTCAGAATTGTTGTCATCCGTAACTTCTCAACACCCAGATCATTAAAACAGACAACTATTACATATGTTATTACTTCCGAGGTTGATCAAATACATGGCAGGCTATATTTAGTCATCATAGAAACATAGAAAGACTAAAAGAAAGAAGCTGCCACCATTTTACAGGTTGAACAAATGCAACATGATTAAACTTGTCCTTAGAGACAGAACAGCTTGGCAGTACTGCCCTTCAGTAATATGACAACTGACAATTAAATGAAATTAATATAATCCAAGGTACCCAACCCAATTGTGAAATGAAAAAAATGACCATTAGTTCATTTAAACAACCCCGGTATTATAATAAAGGAAATCTTATAACCATTTGATTTCAAATGACGAAGTATCAATAATGATGTCTCAAAATACATACATTGTTTACTTCACTCTGCCAAGGCTCATAAATGCCAGCCATGAAGGAAATAGGAATTGGAACCTTGCACTTCTGCACTTGAGATGAAGAAAACACCTTCAAATGAAGAACATACCTTATTCAAGGAAAGAAAAATCATTTGCATTAGATGAGTACTACAAAAGCTATAGTGTCTCAAGATACATAGAAAGAATTTTTGGCTTACTATGTTTCTTGGCAATCAAAGGATTGAGCTGATCTTCTTCAGCATTCTCGACTATGTTGACTGGATTATGAAGTCACAATGAACAAATATTAATGAAGGTGAAGAAGAAAATTACAGAAAAATTACTTTTGTTACTCTTTGAATAATCAGTATCATAATGAATGAAAACAAAGCCATTCTGATTTCAAATGAAGAAACAAGAGTCATGGTGCCTCAAATACACATTTTCAACAATTTCCTACTCTGCCATGCATGGCAATCGAAGATCATCATCATAATCCCTCTCCTTATTTTTTTTATTATAATTTAGAACATTTCTATAACCACAAAACAGTATTACTTAAAAGTGCAAAAGTTGTTTAAAATAGAAAAAAATCAAATTATACAACGAAATTTTGTCAATGGAAAAAAAGGAAAATGTAACATTATCCAATGATCTATTTCAGCTTGCTCTAGAAATCCTAAAAGGATTAAATTAAATAAAACTTTGTGTAAAAAAAGGGAAAGATTGTTTAAAATTACATGACATCTATTCTGATATGAGAAATAAGAACTAGTGGATGGCATCAATCACCAACATAATTGGTGAAGAAAAGGTCATTTGAGTTGACAGAAACAAAAGCTATATTATTTACGAATTGTATCAGAAGATTCATAGAACGAAATTTGGCTTACTTGTGTGTTAGAAGTTGAAGGATTGCCTTGATCTTCTACAGAATACTGCATTTCCTCCGCGGGATTCTACATATATATAATAATCACCAACAACAATTAATATTAATTGGTCATGAGGGGGAAAAATGAATTAATTTTGATTTACAATGGAGTCGTGATCAACGCCCCCAACCACAAATTTTCTTTGTCACTAATAATCAAAGAAATTTGAAAAAACATACCCGTTCCTTGAACAGTTTTTGTATGGTGCTGTTAAGGCTTCCTTCCCAAATCCATTCCTCTTCATCTTCCCACTCATGTGGTCGTACTTTGTGCAACATCGGAGCGTTTAACCCTCCCTTAGAGAACATCTTCATCTTTGGGCATTCATGCATAAGTACGGTTGCTAAGGATGGGAATCCAAAGGTATGATTCCCTGATGAGCAGAAGCTTTCTAGATTTGATAGCCCACTCAGTTCCAAAAGGTTGAGTTTGGGGAAAATGATTTCATCCTTCACTTCATCACGATCCCCATCGCTACCTTCTATGATTTCTTCTATCTTTCCACAATAACTTATCCTCATTTCTCTGAGCTGCACTAGGCTTTTGGCTGTTGAATGTGCAACTAATTTTATGATCCCATCACATCTATGTACTTTAAGAGTCATCAGATTCTGGAAACATACTGAGGATGGAACTAAATTACTTTTTAATTTGGGACACCCTTCCACATGTAAAATCCTTAGATTTTGGAATCCTTCCTCACCACCAACTCCTTCACTTTGGAATAACAACTCTTCAAAGTAACAATCTTTTATTTGAAGGCTTTCGAGATTGGTTAAGGATAGTAATTGGAACAGGAAAGATGGGAATATGGCTAATTGTTGAGGAAACCGTACAAGTCCGAGAACTTTTAGTTTGCAAAAGTAGTCCGATGCAAGTCGTAGGCCATGCAATCTCTCTTTCATCCCATCATCCCATTCGAGGTGAAGTTCCTGTAGATTTGGGAGTGCCAACTGCACAATTCATGCAAGTATTAATGGGACGGAGGATGAGTTTTGAAAGGGATCAAAATGAACGATTGTAATATGGTGGAATAAAAAGAGAAATTTAAAAAAGTATATCTTTAATATAAGTAGTGATCTTTTTTTTTTTTACTGAATCATGTATACCTATATAGTACTAACTTTTGATACACATCAACTTTTACAAAAATTTAGAATTCAAAGAATCTTTTAATGCATATAACTTTACTGAAAAACTAGTAAAGTATACATTTAAAAAAAAAAACAAAATCTGATTATTGAAGTTTAAAGGTACCTCTCTAGTTAAATTATAGATCAATCCAAAGTTATACTATAAATTATATATTCTATCTGGTAAACAAATTATTGTATTTTATTCTACCAATATATTAATAGGTATACATAATTTTCTTTTTAATATTTATTATGTTGCCATTAAATGTTTTTTATTTATTTTTTTTTCAAACACGTCAATCTATTTTTTAAAATTGTGATCCAAAAATATTTTAAGATTTAAGATTGAGGGGTGTTAAATACACCCTTATTTTTCACTTTATACCCTATTTTTTAAAATTTCCTTAAGTAAAATTATTTAATTATATTTTTTTTATAAATTTTTGAAAATAAATGTTTGAAAATTTGTATAACTTGTTGGATATAAATATTAGGAAACTTACGAAAAAGAATAATTAAGTAATTTTATTTTAAAAAAGATTTGAAAAAAAAAATAGCATAAAAAGAACAAAAAAAAGGATGCATTTAATATCACTCTTTAGGGTTTAAGGGCTAGAAATCTCATTAGCAATTAACAATATAAGTAGTTTACCTTCTATTAGATTATTGAAATCAAAAATAAATTCTTAAACTCGAATGATGTAATTAATAATTAGTTGCTATTTCTATTAAACATATAGTTTTACTTATCAATTTGTAAATGAGTTTAATTATTTGAAACAAATTTTAAGTTTATATTGGAGCGATGGAGGAAGACATTAAAAAAATACCTTTTCACTGAATAGGTATTTTGAGACATTCGAGTGGAGGTTCTCCATTGAGATGCTGCTCTCTCCTGCTTCATTTCCAACAGTTGTTCCCACACTTGTAGAATCAAAATGAACTGTATTCAAAACAGGACATCCTTTTACATACAGATATGTTAGAGAAGGGAATTCAATCAGATTTCGAAAGCCAAATCTTTTGAGATTGGGAAGATCCCAAAGCTCCAAGTAGTCTAATTTAGGAAACACCATTTTCCTCGTCCTTTCTTCTTCTACTAATCCTTCCATCACTATTATTATCTCTTCAATTTCATTACATTTTTTAACAGCAAGTGTTTTTAGTTGCACCAAGCTTTCAACCATAGAGGAAGTAAATATATTCTTCAAATTATGGCACTCGTACACTTCCAACTTTGTTAAATTTTGAACACCAAAAGAAGTTACTGAAAGTTGCTCATGCCATAGCTTTTTAACTTCCATGAAGTTTATATCCAACTGCTTTAAGCCTGGGAACACAACCTGCAAATAAAAGTAAAGTTTGACGATCAACAATTCTTTATTATTCAAATATTAAAAAGAATTAACAATGATTTCCAGCATTGATATGACACAAAGAAATAATATATTATTGCCATTGACTATATATTTCTACAACTCTGTCATCTTTAATTATACTAGCAATATACCCACACTTTCTCGTAGATCTAAAATTTTTTTTATTTATAGTTAAATAAATTTAATAAATCAATGAATATAATTTTTTATAATTTCTTAATAAAAACAATGATTTATAATAATTTATTAATTAATTTGGGGATAATATCTTTATTTTGTTTACATAACTTGTTAACAAATCAAATACAAATTCATATTTTCAAATATAGTTAAAAATATTAAAATAGATAATTTAAAAACTTAAAAAAAAACTAAAACTTAAAAAAAAAAAAAATGATCCAAATATTGGCTTGAAGTTGCAATAAATAAAGTCAGTCATTAAATTTTATGTATTAATTATTAACTCCTAACCAAAAAAAAAATGTAATTTTAGATCTATAATAATATATAATATCAATAATTTCATTATATCACTCAAGTCATGACTTGTAAGAGTAAGAGTTTTAAAGTTTTATTATTAGAGGTGTTCATCGATTAAACCTATCAAGTTTTGTTTTTAAAGCTAATAAGAGGCCGACAACTCACTCATTTATTTTATTGACAAAAAACTCACTCATTTAACTAATATTTTATTATTAAAATAATAAAATTTTCTATTATTATTAATATTTTAAACATATACAAAATTTAACAAAAATATAATATTTATTAATAAAATAATTTAATCAGCCCTAATCAAGCCGAAGCTTAAAAAATCATATGCAGCCTGACCCTTTACATCTTTAGTTTCGACGATCTCCTCTATAATTCAAATAATTAAGACTTTCAATTTTAAAGTTTTAAGTCTACAATGATAGAATATCTCTTTGGATGACTATAAAATGTTATAATGTTTGTGAGAAAAAAATCTATATATGAAACGGAGAATTATAAGACTTGAAAAAAATAACATAAAAGATCGAAAAAAAAAATCACCTTTAGGGATACATTCTGGTCTTGCAATATATTAACATATATACTTCATCACTTTGTTTTCAAGTTAAGTTAATAGGAAAATTACAATCTAAAACACTACTGATAATAAATTTAAATTCCACACCAACGAATTTAGATGATTGCTAAATAACTCAATAGGATATAATTTTAAAAAATTAATATAATAACAAACATATGATAATATTTTAACTAAACTTACAAAATTTAAAAACTCTACCAACAATGTATGAAATAAAAATTTTATCTTCAAAAAATGGAGAAAAGCATTAAAAAAATACCTTTTCATCGAATAGATATTTTGGTACATCAGTGCAAGGGTTCACCATTGAGATGCTACTCTTTCCTGCTTCATTTCCAACAATTGTACCCACACTTGTAGAATCAGAATGAAATGTGTTCAAAACTGGACATTCAGCTATCCTTCGTTCCCTTAGAGAGAGGAATTCATTTGGATTTCCAAAGCAAAATCTTTTGAGATTGGGAAGGCTCCATAACTCCAAGTAGTCTAGTTTAGGAAATACCATTTTCCTCATCCTTTCTTCTTCCAGTAATCCTTCTGTCACTGTTATTACCTCTTCAATTTCATTACAATACCCAATAAAAAGTGATTTCAGTTGCACGAAGCTTTCAACCATAGAAGAAGTAAATAGATTCTTCAAATTCTGAACAGTCAACTCAGTTAAATTTCCAACACTAAAAGACGTTACCGGAGGCTGATCATGCCATAAATTTTCAACTGTGATACAAGCTAACCACAACTTCTTTAAGCATGGGAACATGACCTGCAAATAAAAAAAAATTGATAATCAACAATTTCTTATTATTCAAATATTAAAAAAAATTAATAACGATTTCCAATATTGATATGAGACAAAGAAATCATATATAATTGCCATTGACAATAATTTTCAAGTAGATTATTAAACAAAAATTAAATATTTACTTGAATTTGCAACTATATAAAGTCAATGAAGTCACTAAATTTTGAGTATGAGTTATTGACTCTTAACCCAAAAAATAAAGCGCAATTGACAATCTATATATATAATATCAATTCTTAAGTTGGTTATATCACACCCATGTCATGAAAGTGAATTGGAGTTTTAAGTTTCAAAGGCGTATTTGGATTGGCCTATCAAGTCTCGCTTCCAAGGCTGATTCAACTCACTCATTTAATTATTATTTTATTAAAATAACAAAATTTTATTATTAATATTTTAATATTGTAAACATATTCAAGATTAAAATTTAACAAAAATACAATATTTATTAATAAAATAATTTAATCGTTCTGGAAAAGATTTGAGTTTAAAAAACTTATTTTATGTTTTGTTGAATATTTATTTTAAATATATTAATAGAATATTTTATGATATATTTTATTTTCATTAATTTTGATTCAAAAATCACTCAAATTGAAAGTATAGTAATAAAATTTAATAAACCAAAGTATAATGACAAAATTGAACACTCACCTACAATAATAAATTTGCTCTTTATCCAAATTATAACATTCACATATTAAATAGAAAATCTAGTTTAAGAAAAAGGAACAAAAACGAGATCAAAAGGAAATATGTTGGAAGTGAGAATTTAATGAAAAGAAGAAATATATTGACATAAATACCTTTTGGTCAAAAAGCGATGTGGCAGTTGAACTTCCTTCAATTGATTGAACTCTTCCTTGTTGAGATGAGGAAACCCTTTTTTCTGAGTTAAACAAGCTAATGAAAGTTGGTAGACTTGCTAACGATAAGGAGCGTACTTGGCTGAATTCTAAAATGTCATCACCACCAATCTCTTCCTCCCTCTTTTCTACAATTAACTCAGTGAAATTCTTGCAATAAGATACACGAATTTCTTGAAGGTGGCCGAGCTTTCTGGCTAAGGCGAATGAGAACAAATTCTTCAACATGTTACAATGTTCAACTTCTATGATTCTTAGTTGACCAAAACATTCAGCTTGGAGTTGACCATAATATATGGCCTCCAAATTGTTCAGTTCACGAAGAAACAATGTCTCCAAAAGAGGAAATGCTTTACATGAAGCCAACTCCATGGAGTTACTGAGATGTTTAACCTCTGAATCATTGCGGACATCAAGATGTTTTAAATGTGGGAAACCTTGGGTATCTGGATCATAAAGCATGTCTATGACATCTTTCGCTGCATCCAGATGGAGAGTTTCGGTTTTTCTCAACAACGTTTTAACCCCACTATCGTCCAAATAAATACTCTTATTCAACTTGAGTTTCAACTCTCTCGAGGTTTTTGACTTATAAGACTGCCGCCACTTCTCTCCAATGGAAATTTTGTATCTTTCAAACTTTTCAGAAAACAATTCCTTTGGCACACCTTGCAGATCAGGAATATGTACTTCCAAAGTTGTCAAACGACACAAATGTTGCAACTCAACAAGGCTAGCATTGGTTCTTGGCTTCTCATGTCCCTCAACCTCCCATCTATCAAAGCTATTATATAGGTATAATTCTTCTAATCTGGATAAACTTGACAAGACATTTGGTGATATTACTTTAAGCTTGGAACAATGACTCAACTCTAGCAATTTTAGCTTGATCAATTGTCCTATTTGGGGTGGTAGCACTGCAATTTCAGATTCATGGAAGCTAAGGATTTCTAAATTCTTTAACTCTTCAATGATGACTATATCTTTTAAAATGCATTCAGAAAAACATAAAGTACGAAGATTTTTTAGGAAACAAATTGACGAAGGCAAGGATGGAAAATAAAGTTTGGCAAAATCTAAGACTCTGAGTTTTTGCATTCCCCTAAAGAAGTTGTCTGAAATTTTCAAAGAGGAATCCTCACTACCCAAAGAGACAAAGGTAAGATTTGGACATTCCAACTGATCGTGATCAGAAGATTCAGAACGCTCACAAACCTTAGCATACTGCAAGCTGATCAGTTCGCAATTTCTCATTTTTTCCTCATTTGACAACTCTTTGAATACATCATCATCATCCCTTCCTAGAGCAAGCCAATGGTGGTCTCTCGAAGCGATCGATAAGGCAACATCACAAACAACGTCATGCATATCAAAGCGCTCAAAGGTAGAACCATCAAGTAACAAAGAAGAGCTTTTCAGGTTGTTAACCAATGCGGATACTTTATATCGTGCTTCTTTGATTGTGTTAACTCCATGAAATAAACCCAAACCCACGCCATATCTCAACAAGCGCTCGATGGCAGCATCATGGCCCATTATGCTACAGAGTAGGAAAGTAGGTCGATGTTCCTCATCTTCTAAAAACTTGTAACTCAACTCTATAGCTGAACATGTACCTGCTGGTATCCCTTTGAAGTTCCTTTTAGAGGGATTTCTTAGTTCATGCAAAGCATACTTCCAATCATTCAAATCCTTCTTGTTTTTCATAGCTTCCCCAACTGTTACAATGGCAATCGGCAATCCAGCACATTCATTGGCCACTTCAATTGCCGTAGTTTGCAAGTCAGGGCTTAGAACAATATCACCTGCCTTCTTCTTAAACAGGTTCCATGCTTCTTCTTCTTTCAATATTTCAATTCGAATGTTTTTCAGCGAACCCATCAAAGATAAAGCATCAACCTTTCTAGACGTCAGTAAGATCTTGCATCCTTGGTGTTCACCTCCGTAAGGAACTCCTAGAGCATCCATATCCAATTTCTCCCAAATATCATCCAAAATAACAAGAATCTTCTTGCTCCTCTTTAGTCTGTTACGTAGTTCGCCTGCTCTTCCGGGTACACTCGGCTTTTCAAAAATTAGACCCAATTCATCGGCAATCAGATCTTGAATATTCTTTGTGTCAAAATTCTGGGTTACAGTCGCCATGACCACCTCATCAAACAAATTTTCATCCTTGGCTTGTCTAGCAACTTGTTTGATAAGGGTAGTTTTACCCAAACCTCCCATCCCGTAAACACCAATTATGCTCAAATTAGCATCTTTAAGCGCCTCCACGACCGTATCGAAAGCACCCTTTCTTGAATCAAAGGCCTCGTACTCTTTGTCAGGTCTAGTAGCTGTCCCTCCTGAAGCAGGCTTGTAGGAAACTCCATCAAATCGGTCTTTATCTTTCAGGAGTTCAGCAATGGTGTTGGCCTCTTTCTCAGCTTTTCTACTGAGTTGGTAACGAGACATAAAATTAGGACACAACCCAACGAAACACCTCTGCTTTGCTTTCTTTTCATCCCCATCCAATTGCGCAGCAGCCTCGTCACAGATCTTCCCATCGACCGTAGTAAACTGAGGATAATTTAATAAAAATAAATGATAACTTAATAATAAATAAATGATAACTTAGTAATAAATTAATAATAATTTAATAGTAAATAAGATTCAGTTTAATACTTCTTTCATCCCAATAAAATTGTCACATTTTTATTTTTTTGTCAGTTTTTTTAACTTTAATCACTTATTATTTTATATTTATTATTGATAAAAATATGAAAAAAATATATTTTAAAAACTTTAAATGAAGTGGTTTCTAAATATATGTTTTATAAAATTTAATTTATTAAAATATTTAAAATAATAGATGTCAAAATTAGAAAATTTTAACAAAAAAAGTCAACTGAAATAGATAAAGAGAGTAGTAACTAATTAACAAATTTAGTGGTAAATCACAAGTAACTTAATAATAAATTAATGATAATTTAGTATAACTTAGTAGTAATTAATAATTGAAAATTAAAACTAAATCAATATAACTTAATAGTAATCATTGATAAATTAATAGTTAATCAGTGACAATTTAGTATAATAAATTAGTAATAACTTAATAGTTTATCAATAATAATTTAATAGTAAATAATTAATAACTTAGTAGTAAATCAATACTAATATAATAGTAAATGCATAATAACTTAATAGTAAATCAATTATAACATAATTGTAAATACATAACAATATAGTAGTAAATTAATAATAACTTAATAAAAAAATGATAACTTAATAGTTAATTATTGATAATTTAGTAGTAAATCAATGAAAACTTAGTAGTAAGTTATGATAACTTAATTGCAAATCTGTTTTAGTTTAATAATAATTAAATTATAAATTTAACAATAAATCATAAATAACTTAACAATAAATCAATGATAATTTAGTAGTTAATTATTAAAACTCAGTAATAAATCAATAATAATATAGTAACAAATGCATAACAGTATATAATAAATTATCAATAATTTAATAATAAATTATTGATAATTTAGTAATAAATTAGTAATAACGTCTCAGTAAATCATTGATAATTTAAATGTAAATCAATGATAATTTAGTTATAAATTAATGATAATTTAATTATAAATTAGTTAATTATTAATAACTTCAAAGTAAATCATCAATAACTTCATAGTAAACTAGTAATAACTTTATAATAAATTATCTATAACTTAATAGTAAATTATTAATAACTTAGTAATAAATCGTTTGTAACTTAATAGTAATTTATCTATAGCTTAGTAATAAATTGATGATAATTTAGTTGTAAATCAACGATAGGATAATAATATGTAATTGATAACTTATTTGTTAATTAATGATTACATTTTTTTATAGTTGAAGTTACTAGTAATTGAACCTTGGTTACTAAAAAGAGCAAAGTTAGAACTATCAACATTAGGAACTAGAATAAACCTACCAAGAACCTATTTATTAAAAAAATTTAGTTAAAAAATTCTAAATTTTAATGAAACAATGATGTTATTGTATAAAAAGAAAATTATCTCATATATTGTAATTTATTGATAAATTAACAGTAAATCATAAATAACTTAATAGTAATTTAGTTGATAACTTAGTACTAAATAATTGATAACTTAATAGCTAATTATTAAAATGTTAGTAATAAATCAATGGTAATTAATAAATGCATAATAATATAGTAGTAAATCACTAATAGCATATTAATAAATCACTTATAATTTAGTTGTGTATCAATGGTAATTTTGTATAAATCATTGATAACTTCATAGAAAAGTAGTTATAACTTTATAATAAATTATCAATAATTTAGTAGTAAATAATTCATAACTTAATAGTAAATTATTGATAATTTATAATAAATTACTAATAACATAATAAAAAATCAATGATAATTTAATTATCAATCAGTGATAAGTTTTTTATACTTGAAGTTTCTAAAGATTAAACTCTAGTTACTAGCAATAATGAAGTCAAAACTTAGTAATAAAATAGTTATAATAATAAATCAGTGTTAACTTAATCGTAATTTATTGATAATTTAATGATAAATTAGTTACAATTTATTGGTAAATCAGTGATAATAATAAATTAATGATAACTTATAATAAGTCAATTTTAGCTTAGTAATAAAATATGGATAACTTAATAATAAATTATTCATATTTTAATAGCAAAATAATGATATAACTTAGTAGTAAATCATCGATAATATATAGTAATAAATCATTACTAACTTAGTATTTTTTTTTTTTTTTGGTTTTGGTTGAATATTGTATAGAGCTATATTTTTTAATACGTGTAACATATTTGATTCATTTAAAAAATTATATTTATTGCCATTTAATACTAAGATATTGAATTACAAATATTTGTGAATATTGTACACATAGATAAATAATTAAAATACTATTCATGTACCAATTACTATAACAACAAAATTTTTTTGAAAAAAAATCAAATTTTGAAATGAAAATTTGGAATGATTTCATATAAATTTGTATGTCATTGATTGTCCACTTGATAATAAATTAATGGTAAATAGATTAATGCTATATCTTTATTAAAAATAAATTGTTGTGTTATGTGGCAACCTTAATAACACTAACAGCAACTATACAAAAAAATTATTGTCTTTAAAGATATTTTTAAAATGAAAGAAATAAATAATGAGTCTAAACTTGTGAGACAACACCATAAAAAAATTATCTATAAGTTATTTTCTCAAGTATATAATATTTTAAATTAAAATATATGATTTAATAATACTAATAATAGTATGAATTCTATAAATTATAATTTTATACTAATATCGGTAAATAATGAATTTTTTGTATGAGTTATACTAGATATATAATTAAGTATTTGTCGAATAAAAAAATTACTCCATTTTAATTAAAAAATAGTTCAAATATTAAAAATATATTCATTATCAATTTTAAAGTCTAAGATCTAAAACATAGTTTACCTTAAAAAATATAATAGTATCTTTTGAAATTTATCTAAAATAGGTCATATCTTATTAATTTTAGAATTTTTATATTTCATTATTTAACAAACAATAATAATATTGAACCAAAGTTAATTGATAAAAGTATTTCAATATTTAAAGAACAACATAAAAAAAACTATTTGATTACAATAAGATATACCTTTAAGTAAAGTATGTTAGTTAAACTCTTATTATAACATATTTTAGTAAGTTACGTATATTTAATGGCTTTTAAGAAATCAATATTTGATATTAAAAGTAGTTTTAGTCAATATCCCTTATAATTACATAAATAAATATCATTGATGATTACGTCAAGATATTAATAGTTCTTAATTGCTTCAAATCCTTTTTTTTTTTTAGAATATGTTTATAAATATATATTTTTTAAATAGTAAAATTCATGTAAGTATGGATTTTTTACTATAAAATGAAACTACAAAATGATTTATATTACATTAATAAGTATATATCAAAAAACAGAAGTAAGTGATCATTAAAAATATATATATGTATTTACTTTATTTCCAATAACAAAAACTTTATAACAATATAGTTTCAAATCAAAATAAAGAATTTAAATTTTCAACAGCCAAAAAATAAAAAAACAAGAGTTTAAATGAGTTTAACAATGATCGATTGCCTCAAAAATTTATAAAATTGAAAATTGAAAATCTACTATAAAAAAAGTTAAAAGAAAAAACTCAAAAAAAAAAAGAGGAAAGGAAAGTACAAAATCCGATTTGAATGTGATAAAAAATAATCCTATGAAAAAATTTTAAAACAAAGAAAAAATATAAAAAAAAATTGATGATAGTCTAAAACCAAAGACTTAAAAAAAAACTTCTAAAAAAAAATCAAAATAGAATAAGATTAAATTTTTATTCTTTATTGGAATTTTAATTTAAAATTTTGGTTATATTTATTTTTTTCAAACTTAAATTTATATTGTCAATTTAATTTAATATGATAATAATTATTTCAATTTTATTATTGTAAAAATATAAAAATTATTTTATTATATTAAAATTATAATTTGATTAACAATTTCGTAAAACAAAACTAGTATATATATATATATATATATATATATTAGAAAATCCATTATATGTTATCATCATTTGTTGACTGTAATAATTATCGGCTTATCTTTTGTTCGTTACTTCAAAATAGAATTCCTACAATCCAATCAAAGACTTTTGACTAGTTACATCAACCAACTCTCCATTTGGCAAAGTTCTTCTGGTTATTTATGTATTCTGATTTATATAAATTTCTTCTTTTTTTTTTTTTTGGGTTTCTCAAAGTTTAGCTGGCTTTTTTGATCTTTTGCTGAAATGGGTGGTACTGGGATGCTGAATAATTCAACTATGATATGTGCTCCATTAATGGCTCAATCAGTGGAGCAAATGGTTAAAGACATGCACCAGGCAAAGGCTGAAGGTGCACAACTTGTTGAGATTAGGTTGGAGCATATCAAGAGTTTCCAGCCTCACCAGGCTATTCAAATCATCCTCAAAAATAAAGTTTTGCCAGTGATCATTGTATATAGGTAATCATCTCACCTGCATTTTTTTCTACTAGTGGATTTCTTAGTTTTATGTTGTTTGAGCAGTCTTATGAATATTAGGAGATTAGAGTTGGAAAAATGCTTTTTTTTTCCCTCATTTTGGAAGTCAAGATTGTATTTGATAGATTCTTTTCTGTATGTTGCTGTACCTCGTCCTTTTTTGTGGAAAAGATATTATTAGGTCCCATCATTTCTTTTTAAATGGATGTGGCCAGTAATTCAGAATCACATGCAATATATTCTTGTGCAAAAGCTGCAGCATATCGTTGTAAGGATGGGCTTCTATTTGGTGATTTGAAGACAGGGGCATCCTGAATCCAAAACATCAAATAGCTGCAATTATAAATGTTTTTTGTTCTACCTAGTAGACACCAACCATGATACTGAACATTGTCACTTCTGCTTGTGGATGCAAACATATCATAGAAATTGCTGGAAACAGAGAGGACAAATATCAGTGCCTAACTTTATGGAGTTTTTATTGAGTTTGTACTCTTTTTCTGCATGAAAATCTATCGTACTGCTACTTGCGTTAATAATGTTTTTCATTTTCACTTTCAGAAGCTTGTTGAGTTGTGTTGTGAGGTAGGA